GCTGGGGGCATTGGGGAAGTGATGGGATTGGTCGAGATTTGGGGCAAAATGTTGAGGTTTGGGGCAAAAATGGTTGAGGTTTGGGGCAAATCATCAGAGTTTGGGGACAAAACGATGGAGATTTGGGGAAAACCATCATGGTTTGGGGCAAAACCAGTCGAGGTTTGGGACAAAATGGTCGAGATTTGGGGTAGGCCCGCAGCCCTGGGGAGGGAGGAAGGACTCGACTGTTTTGCCCCAAACCTCAACCATTTTTGCTCCAAACCTTGATGATTTCCCCAAGTCTTGACCGTTTTGCCCCAAACCTCAACCATCTTTGCTCCAAACCTTTCTCATTTCCCCAGATCTCCACCGTTTCGCCCCAAACCTCAACCATCTTTGCTCCAAACCTTTCTCATTTCCCCAGATCTCCACCGTTTCGCCCCAAACCTCAACCATCTTTGCTCCAAACCTTTCTCATTTCCCCAGATCTCCACCGTTTCGCCCCAAACCTCAACCATCTTTGCTCCAAACCTTGCTCATTTCCCCAGATCTCCACCGTTTTGCCCCAAACCTCAACCATTTTTCCTCCAAACCTTGATCATTTCCCCAGATCTCCACCATTTTGCCCCAAACCTCAACCATCTTTGCTCCAAACCTTGATGATTTCCCCAGATCTCCACCGTTTTGCCCCAAACCTCAACCATCTTTGCTCCAAACCTTGATCATTTCCCCAGATCTCCACCGTTTTGCCCCAAACCTCAACCATTTTTCCTCCAAACCTTGCTCATTTCCCCAGATCTCCACCGTTTTGCCCCAAACCTGAACTGTTTTGTCCCAAAACCCTGACCATTTGCCGCAAACCTCCATCATTTTGCCCTCAATCTCATTTTACTCCAAACCTCGACAGTTTTGCCCCAAATCTCAACTGGTTTTGCCCCAAAACTAAATATTTTGCCCCAAACCTCAACCATTTGCCCCAAATCTGCACTGGTTTTGCCCCAAACCTCAACAGTTTTGCCCCAAATCTCAAATGTTTTGCCACAAACCTTGACTCTTTTGCTCCAAATCTCAACAGTTTTGCCAAAATCTTGACTGGTATTGCCCTAATTCCCAACCATTTTGCCACAAATGTCACTGGTTTTGCCCAAAACTCAAACTTTTTTTGCCCCAAACCGCAATGTTTTGCTTGAAACCTCAAACATTTTCCCCAAATCTGAACTGTTTTCCCCAAACCTCAACAGTTTTGCCCCAAATCTCGACTGGTTTTTCACACAAACCTTGACTTTTTTGGCCCGAAATCTCAACCATTTTGCCCTAAACCTTGACTGGTTTGCCCCAAACCTCAACATTTTGCCCGGGGAGGGGGTCAGCGGGGCCGGCTCCTACCTGGGAGGGCTGTTCCCCCGTAGCCCAGCATCTTCCAAAACCCCTTCCCCACCCCAGACCCTTCCCATCCCCAGACCCCCCAGCAGCCCAGCTTTGCTCCCCCATGGCCACTGCCCACATGGAGCAAGGAA